GACCCCCCCGGTCCCCCCATGTCAAAAAAAGCCCGGTCTAGGTAGGGTTAAAGCAAAAGACTCATCATAATTACATACAAATATTTAAAAAATACACTCGTACACTTTGCCAATTATTTGATACAATATTTTGTATTCTGTCATTAGAATGCGTCCTATGAGCGTCCAGATGACAGCACGATCAGCCCACAGTGGTTTGTGGACAAGCCGAAGAAAAAGTTCCTGAGGCACATCCTGCTGGAAATCAACGTCGAAAACTTCATCACCGAAAGTCCATCTCTGTACAAATGCACCATGGAGTTCAAGGCTCCAAATTTCGGGTTTAAAGCCAGCATGGGGTTTGGCATTGAAGCTTTAGGTTGGTATAGGCCGTACCTGAAAAGGCTGAATTTGTTAATACCTATTTATACCTGCCTGGTGCTACATTCTATACTATCATTTACGTGTCAAAGAAAAAAAAACGTTAAAATACAAATTAGCACGTCTATTTGTTTGAGAAAAATGTTATCATATCCTCCAAGTAAACGTACAGGTAGCCCCTAAGTCCTTTTAAGGCGGTTGTTGCAGTGGTTTGTTAGTCCACTGTGTGCTTGGCTCGGTTTGGGAAGACAGAGCCTACCGCGCTCCCTCCACCAAATTTGACCTCCCCAACCGAAGACAGGTACCCATTTTACTGCTGGTGACGTGGAGTGAGGGATGCCTGATAAAGTATCTTTCCCCAAGGACATGACGTCCAGTCTGAAATGACAGAAATCCATGTCGGGTCTGCTAGCCTTACCACTCGGCTATTCTACACCTTTTTTTAATACCTTAAATTCAATGTATATTAGGGTTCTATTTATTATGCTTACCGAGGGAAAACATATTGTTTTTGCTCAGTTTTTTACTCTTCTTCTCCAAACAGTGACCTCTGACCTGACCAATGACATGATTTGTTGACGTCTGTCACCATGGTGACCGGTGTTGGGTTACATAATGTTGCAATTTCATGGTCTGCTCTGCCACCATATACAGGTACATGTATGTGAATGTGTTTGAGTAAGAATTTACAGAGCAGACCATGTCCGAAGATAAACATTATGCAGTTGCTTTTCAAATATCTTCTCTAGTTCTTTTTTAAATAGTTTGCGCAATAATACTACAATCATGTTGTCTAATGTTAAACTGATATGTTGAAGGGTGCCCTGCTGGGTTCTTCGGAGGAAACTGCAGTGAGATCTGTGTGTGCCAAAATGGCGGCAGCTGTCATCCATTTAATGGCGCCTGTAAGTGCCCGGATGGATGGAAGGGCAGGGCCTGTGATATCAGTAAGTGTAAACACTTATGATTATGATTTGTGATTTTTTTTAAGATTTCAAGATTCTTGGAAGTGAAAGGTCCTGATGTAAATGTTTCATTTAATCTATAATAATTTCTTCACCAACATTTAGTGCCAATAAGTAGGGGCGTAGCAGGCATGTTAAAATCTTAATTTCCCTAATGCGACGCAGTTCAAAAGTACAAGACGTTTATAATCTTTTGCAAATTCAATTATGTGGTTCTGTAAGCTGTCCGTAGTTATTTTAGAGGTCAAATGACCTCTAGATGTTCAAAAACGCTTTAGTCAAGATTTACTTAAGGACAGATAGCTGCGTCAGCCCTAATGCCGTTACTTCTATTCTCTACTTTAAAAGGCTTCATATGAGGGATAGCATATAGATTCAAAGCTTTTTAAGACATATTCAAATCATTCTTATTAGGCAAATTAACCAACCAGAGCCTGTTTTTATTGTTTACCTACCACTTTCTGGCATTTAAATCAAGGCGATCGCTTGTATCTAGGATTCCTACTTATGACGTCATTTCCTGTTACAGAGGATCCAAAGGTTGCCATGTCTCCGACCTACCAGAACGTCACTTCCGGCCAGACAGCACGGCTCAGCTGTGTGGCTCTGAATGTCCATTCCTCCAGCACCTTCGCCTGGGCTCTGAACGGGAAACAGCTGAGTGTAGAAGGTAACAACATGGTCACATTACAAGGATTCAACACACAATTCAACAGGTAAGGCGATAGTGAATGAGCTACATTTGGTATATTTACGTTAACCGTAGGAATTCGGAAAACTTGAAATATTGTTTTTGCTCTGTTTCTTCCTCTTATTCTTCTCCAAACAGTGATCTATGACCTGACCAATGAGATGGCTTGTTGACGTCTGTCACCATGGTGACTGGTGTTGGGTTACATAATGTTGCAATTTCATAGTCTGCTCTGCTCCTGTCACCATATACTAGTAGTACATGTATGTGAATGTGTTTGAGTAAGAATTAACAGAGCAGACCATGTCAGAAGGTAAACATAATGCATTTGCTTTGCAAATGTTACTTCTCTAGTTCTAAATTATTTTTCGACTCCTCTTTTGCCCATGTTTACAATAATTCGTGTCAGTTACATAAAATGATAGAAGGAAGGGCCGGGAAAAACAATTTTGTATGTTTCCTAAACCTTTCGTTTTTTAATCTTATTTTCTTTTGTATTCAGGACATTTGTGAACGTCACCATTACCGTGGTGATCACCAATCTCGATATGTCTGGTGAGTACGCATGCGCGTACAAAGCCACGGATGGAAGGGTCTACCGACAGTTTGCAAAGGTTGCCCTGGAAGGTAAATAAACAGCATTTCTCATTTTTAGTAAGAATATCAAATGGCAATAACGTTTATCACATAAAGCCATTGCAAGTAATTTTTATGGATGACATCGACGCGCGCATTAGTTTTTGGCCTGATTTTGAAAAAAAAAATATTTCCCTCTAAGTTCTGACAGTGGTTCACATGATGCCAAAAATGGGCAAAGATGTCTGTTGTCATAACGGAACGTGAATGGCAGATAAATATGAAAAGAGGACACAAGACAGGCTCTAGATCTGATTTATTGTCTTGTCTTTTACTTTGATGGATTGCTGTATTTCATTCCTTTTATATGTGATGATTCCACTGAATAAATACCATTTGTACGCAAACGTTTATTTTTCACATTTGGCAGTAAACGTAGCACAACATAGGTATCATTTCTTGTTTAACAACAAGGTATATGATGTTAAAATTTGAAAATATAAGAATCTTGTTTCTTTTGGCCCGCCTGTTTTTTCCGTATCGCATTACATTTGGAGTCTGCGGAGGATTCCATCCATAACATTTACATCCTGTGTCCTAACCATATCCAATAACATAGCTAAACGCAGTAAAGTGAGCGGTATCTATAGTTTGATAAGAGAACTATGCTATACTTCATCTACATGTGTATCAAATTTGGGTTAACTATTTCATTTAAAATTCTCAACAATACAATATCCTTGCAGGAAACTTCAGTCCTCAGTGTGGCAGTTGCTTACCCCTGAAGTCAGTGAGTGGTGAGTTAATTGAATATTAATTTTTTTCGCATTCGTCATGAAACAACGGTAGCTACGTAGGCGACCAAGAAAACTTTCATTCAATGCATTGTCTACTTTTACAACATGGTATCAACATGTGATTTTTGGTCACAGTTGCCGGATTATTGATGTTTCTTGTTTAGTGTACCGCAATTAAACAAGGCGCATTTTCCTGTTATTTTTCCGTCTTAATTTTTAAGAGGAATTGTTTCCATGCGTTCTCTAGTACTTAGGATGTTGGCTATGCCTAATGGCAATGTTTTCTACACATGTTAGAAAACCTTTATTTCGAATTAACCAAAATTTCAAACTAACATTTCTGATTATTATGAAGCAAGTTTAAACTGTAATATCCAACACAATAAATTGGACTCACCCAAATTTTCGACTGTACAACTCCAGTCTTTGTCAAGGAGTGAACAATCCACCGCTTCCGTGACGTCACGCAGGTAACACACGTAACTCCGTGAGCAGTGGATCATAGGTTGCAGAAAGTCTGTGGCACCTCCCGTCTCTGTTGAGGGATGGTTGTAATGCCCTGATGTAGATGACCTCTTTAATCCCTCGTGGTGCAAAGATGTCCTGTTCTGAGTCCAAGATTCTTACTTTGTCCAGTGAGACTGAATGTTCAGGCGATTTTTTATTATTTCTGTTTGAGATAAATATTTGGATGTTTGTTGTTGTTGTTTTTTCTAGGGGAGTCTGTCGCCCTGTACGTCGTCAGCGGCCTTGCCGTACTGTTTCTCCTGGTGCTGATCACCCAGAGCTACCTGAAGCACAAGCTGGTAGAGAAGGAGAAAGCCATCACCATGGTTACCAAAAATGACCCGGATGTAAAGAAACCCATTGCTGAGTTCCCGGATATGGTCCGCAGGGCAACCGTTGAAAACGAATACACCGTGTGAGGGGTTCATTTAAAGGCATCCAATGCGATTTCAGGGCAGCAAAACTGGAAATATTCTGAACGAGGCAATCTTTGCGATATTGACAAGTACTGCTTTCCATTAGGCACAATTACATCAGTATTTCATACTTTGGGCTTTTAAAACTGTGTGGTACCCTGAAAATCATCCCTGGGTCCGTCCAGTAACCACTTTCTGCTAGAATTTTGGGATAGTCTGGTTTCAACTCAATAACGTGTAGATTGATAGCTTTGAAAAATGGGGTTTCCAGGCCCTAAAAACTGCACTGGATGTATTGTTTAAAGGGGAAACTATAAGAAAGGATGATCATCTTATCAATAAGAACAAAGTCTCTATTTGCTTTGTTTAAGGTTAATGACCGTTTATGTGTTTATCCTAAACGTTTTTATTGCAATTAAACCTACATGTAAAAAGAAAACTACAACAGCTGAGTTAGTTCCAACTTGGAAATACGTTAAAAATTGATATCTTAGGCAGAGTGTTATTATCATACATATCTTTATAGCTTTCCTAATGTATAGACACGCACGGTGGCCAGAGTAAAAGGGATATCTAATGGGTTATGATTACATAAGACTTACTAAATAAGTTTTATTACTGGAGTTTGTCATATTAGAAAAGTTTTATGTAATCTTTTTTTCTGGAATATGATAAAGGTAGATTTAGATTATCTAGTCAAGAATGTTTTTTTGCTAAATGTGATTAAATAATTGTGCTGAATATGGATAGACATCACTATTGCGCTTGAACGTGTTATATAATTGTTAGTCTAATGTCTAGAAAGTAAAGTAACCCAGTATCATCTTTAGAAACACTTTTTTTGTTACAATTTGTATTTGATTACCAAATAGGCGTAAGGAATAAGCGTATTTCTAAGCAACATTTAGTGCATCTTGTTAGTAGCACACCTTGTTAACTAGGCGAAACAAAATTACATATAACGCTCTTATCAACAATGTTAACAATCTATCTACGCAGATTTGTCACGGCGGTCAATTTCTAGGGTAAAGTTTCCAATTCTAAGGAAGGGTATCAGGTTACCGGGGTTCCACGCGCGGCTTCCGCGGAGCCAGTCTCAACGGGGAATCTTTTTTAAACAATAATAAACAGTTTTACGGGGACTCTCTTGTCCAAATGTGATAAAATCCGCACTGCATATACCTCAAATGTTGTCATTTTTATTACATTGCTTAAATGTATTTAAAGTCACTCTCAACGCGTCGAATGCTTATTCTAGAACAATCGACGTCAATAACCAAACAACTGATTTAAACAGACCCCAAATCTCCCAGAAAATCCCTCATTTTTACATTTTACAGAACAGTATAACAAAATTAAAATTTGAGTCGGACAGTTTTCTTTATTTCGAAGTTAAAGTGTTGCTAAGGTCGAAAAATTTGCCAAAAAATGCGCTTTTTCAACTTCCAAGACCGATAATTCCAGAATACCGCTATCTTTTAAAATTCCGTCCGACACAGATCTAGATTATTGTGTTGTCTACAATATAAAATGTTTCTGAGGTAAATTAAATGTGTTTTTGTTGCGGTTTAAATACCATGTTTGCACACATGTAAGGCCGTGTGAGTAAGTGCAGGGGGTAACTTAGATTCCCGTAAACAACAATTACGATCCGTCGATGAAGGTTAGACATCCAGGTATTACGATATGCCAAAAACAGTTACTCAAGCAACTGGATATGATTTTGAAAACGTCAGACGTTTCAGCTAGTATCCACTAGCTTTCGTCAGTGACTGAGAGACCAGAGGGGAAAGCAGGTTTATATACACAACCTGTTGATTGATATGCAAATAAAGTGGACAATTTTTTGGAAGTCGAAAAAGGAACAAAAATCAGACAAGTCAAGACAAGATGACGTTTTCAAAATCATATCCAGTTGCTTGAGTAACTGTTTTTGGCATATCGTAATACCTGGATGTCTAACCTTCATCGACGTATCTTGGATCATTACGGTAAGTTTTGCCTGAGCTCTGTGAGGGATCTGGATAAGACCAGCAGGAAGATTGCAGATTTCCGGAATCATCTACGCTTCTGTCTACGCTGCCTCAAGGTAAGTATCACACCCACCAGCCTACGCCTAAAAACTTCCATCAGAGGCTTCAACGCCAACAAGATCATCTTCAACGCGGAAAGAAAGTTACTAAACGAAAGGGTAAGACAGATCAACTACAAATTAGACGGTCTAAACGCGAGGAAATCTAACCTTGAAAAACTACTGAGGGAGAAACTATCAGACGAGATTTTTGCCGAAACTAAAGAGTTCATAACACGCGGACAACTTGATCAGCACGAGAAGGGAAAAGACAGACAGAAGACCAAATTTGATCGTTTACAGCAAAAGAAGACTATTAGCGCAGCAGATAGTGACCCAAATTGGAGATCAAACAGTTCCGAACCCAAAACCACTACACAGGCCAAAACCGACGAGAGGTGGGTAAAAAACCTAAGTAGCCATACTCTCACAGAACCAGAGAAATCACTGCTTTCTAAAGGTCTAAATTTTGCAGTAGCACCCAACAAGATTCCCAGCATTGACATTGTGACAGAAACCGAGTCAGCAATTCGTCGGGCACGTTTACCACAGAGACAAGCTGAAGCCTTGCGCACCAAAGTAGCTACCACCCTGAAAGTCTCCAAACCCCCTGCTAGTAACATCACACGGGAAGAACGTACCGCTCTCAAAGATTTGGCTACCAATCAAGACATATTGATTCTTCCTGCAGACAAGGGCAGATGCACAGTAGTCTTAGACAGGGAGCAGTACGACAGGAAGGTACAGGACCTATTGGGAGACAAAGACACCTACATGCCCTTGAAAAAGGACCCCACTAACAAGTTTAAAGGGAAAATCAGTTCAGCTCTCAAGAAATTGCAAACTGAAGGAGTTCTGGATCGCCCCACCTACCTAAAACTCAATCCCACAACGGAACAACCCCCTGCTTTCTACGGCCTTCCCAAAATCCACAAACAAAGTGTCCCTCTACGACCCATAGTCTCCAGTATAGGCTCTGTCACCTATGAGTTAGCAGGTTTTCTAGCCAAGATTTTAGGACCACTAGTGGGGAAATCTCAGCACCATGTACAGAATAGTGCCGACTTTGTCAACAAAATCAAAGACATTCATGTAGAGGATGATGAAACCATCACTTCGTATGACGTGTGCTCACTTTTCACCTCCATACCACCCAAGGAAGCAGTGTCAGTAGTCAAGGAAGCCTTGGAAGCCGATGATACACTTGCAGATAGAACCAACCTATCCGTTGACCTACGTTTGTGAGCTACTAGAACTCTGCTTAGGATGCACATACTTTACCTACAAAGGACAGTTCTACCAACAAATGCACGGCTGTGCTATGGGATCACCAGTCTCACCAATTGTTGTAAACCTGTACATGGAGAAGTTTGAAAACAAAGCCCTCAGCACTTTCAATGACACTCCCCCGGCCAACTGGTTTCGATATGTAGATGACACTTGGTGCAGATTGAAAAAGAGGGTAGCTGCTGACTTCTTTGACCACATCAACCAGATAGATGACAACATCAAGTTCACACAGGAGCCAAGCCATGACAACATGCTCCCTTTCCTAGACACCAAAACTATCGTAGAGGAAGATGGTAACCTTCGTTTCGAAGTGTACAGGAAACCAACCCACACTGATCAGTACCTGGCTTTTGATTCCCACCACCCTTTGGAACACAAACTAGCAGTGATCAAAACTCTCTTCCATCGTGCAGACAACATTGTCACTTCAGACCAAGCCAAAACGGACGAACAAAGACACCTCCGAGGTGCCCTGGCTAAATGTGGCTACCAAAACTGGACTTTCAACAAAGCGCTCAAACCTTCAGATCAGTCTAAGAAAACCCAGAAGTGCAAACCATTGACCAACAAAAACAAGGCCAACATCACTATTCCGTATGTCCAAGGAGTATCTGAGAAACTCCGACGGATCTTCCAAAACTTCAACATAGCCACTAACTTCAAACCTTACTCAACCCTCAGACAAAGACTGGTACACCCTAAGGACCGACCTCACAAGGGTACCAAGGCGAATGTTATTTACAGACTCAAATGTGAGGAGCCCAATTGTAACAACACCTACATCGGAGAGACAAGTCGACCGCTTAAAGTAAGGTACAAAGAACATTGCCGACCTAGTGCCAACGGCTACTCCTCAGCTATTTTCCACCACCTACAACACAACCAGGGTCACTCTTTCAAACTCGAGTCCACGGATGTCTTAGACCGCGAAACACGCTGGTGGGAACGGGGTGTTAAAGAGGCAATATATGAAAGAATGTACAACCCCACCCTCAACAGGGAAGGGGGGCTACGGGTCGATCTTTCCGGCACTTGGGATTTGGCACCCCCAGCCCCGAGGACAGACAACACTTAAGCTCCTGTTCTGTATAACAGGAGCTTTCAGACTAATTTGCATCATTTTGTCTTGACTTGTCTGACTTTTGTTCCTTTTTCGACTTCCAAAAAATTGTCTTCACTTTATTTGCATATCAATCAACAGGTTGTGTATATAAACCTGCTTTCCCCTCTGGTCTCTCAGTCACTGACGAAAGCTAGTGGATACTAGCTGAAACGTCTGACGTTTTCAAAATCATATCCAGTTGCTTGAGTAACTGTTTTTGGCATAACAATTACGATCGTCAAGGTCACACACGATGACGGCAGTAGCTTCGTTACATGTTACATATTCATGTTACATATAAAACTTAGCATAGATATACTGTTCTGAAATCGGTTTATATCTGTGAAAAGGTGGATTTTTTACTGTTAGGCGGTATCCGTGTTAAAACGGGTTTGAAGCTGCGGGTTTACTGTACATGACCGCGGCTGACCCCGGATCGAACGAACGTTCGGTTCGATTGACGTCATATCGAACATGATTCCATTCGATAAAAGGTTGGAATATTTGGGCCCAAATTTGACCATCGTGTGTTGATATAATTTCAGTTTTTGTGGGTAAGCGCTAAACTTTGTTGCTTATAACATGTTACTTAACCTACGATGCTTCAATTATTTTCACGGCGGTCTGTCACTACGGCATTCTTTCCCATTGCTGGGGGCGTTCGATTAAGTATCGGGTTACAAGACGCAATTTTGGGCTAACCGTAAAACATTTGAAAATAAACAAACTAGTATCGAAGGGAAAATTTCGTTGAAATAAAATAAAATTATTGTCTTTACATACATTCAATGGTGATTTTTTGCGCTAAATGGATGATTTTTTCGTATTTCGTTAAAAAAGTCGATAATTTTCGGGATTTCGCAGCGTCATATTTTAGCCAATCACCGAGCAAACCTGGCTACACATATTACGCAAGAGCACTGATTTTTATATTTTTCGACGACTAGGAATAAGACGAAAAATCGTGCTTTTGGGATTTTTTAATTTCTGACTATAAGTATAGTTTTTGTTGACAAATTTGCTTTTTTCGCACTCAATTACCAATAATTCAAAATCAAACGCATTTTTCAAAAATCCCAAAAGCACGATTTTCGGGACAACCGTGACAGTCATTTTGAGCCGTAAATGGGTTATGTTTGACTCTCCACGCTTCCAGGTTTGAACGAGTTTTGCAGACATGTCATATCTCCCAAAAGTGTGCACCGTGTTATTCATAAAGGCGTAAAGAATCATTACAGTATTCAAGGTCACCCAAGGATACGACAGTAGTTTTGCTACATGTTACATGTCCACAAAAAAATGATAGCGGACATGTACTGTCCTGGAAACTGTTTGTATCTATAGAAAAATGTTGTTTTTTATCTGTTGCGAGTCACTAAGGCAGAAGGGCTTGTTTTGCCGCTTTATTGCAAATGACCGCAGGTGACCCCGAAATGGAACGCGGGTTCGATTCGAATTGCCCAGATCGAACACGATCGAACACTGTTCGGATTCTATGAAATGTGGGAACTTTACAGCCCAGATTTTACCACCGTGTTTACAATATTATTTCAAATTACAACAGAAATCTAAAGAAAAGGTGTGTTACGTATACTGTGTGAAACTGTTGTTTGATATCTTGTTACCTCCATGAAATGGAAGGTATTGTTTTTGGGGCGTCTGTGTGCGTGTGTGTGTGTGTGTGTGTGTGTATGTGTGTGTGTGTGTGTATGTGTGTTTGTGTTTCCGCTTTTTTGTACCTTCATAACTCCATAACGCATTTATGGATTGTGGTGATATTTGGTATACTGGTAGGTGTTAGGGGGGCGAAGGTCAAGGTCAAATATGGGCCTCCTGGTGGATGGCCTTGGTACTGCAGCAGCACTTCTGGTTTAATGAGGAGTCTGCCAGACAGGGTAACAGATGTCTGATTGTGTCGAGGCTGCCCCGGGCTTGCGACCTGGTTTGATTAATGAGAGGTTCTTCCTCAGGGAATAAGGCGACCTCTGTGCGCTATGATGTGGAAAATTTGAGTGTTAGGGTGGATGGACACCCAGTGTTGACGTAATTTTGGCACTGAGATCTAGTTACCTCCATGAAAATGGAGGTATTGTTTTTGGCGCGTCTATGTGTGTGTGTGTTTGAGTTTCCGCATATTTGTAGTCAGCATAACTCCATAACGCCTTTATGGATTGTGATGATATTTGGTATGCTGGTAGGTCTTAGGAAGCCAAAGGTCAAGGTCAAATATTGGCCTCCTGGTGGATGACCTTGGTACTGCAGCAGAACTTCCGGTTTTTGTATCTTTTGTCCTGAACATGTTATGGTCTTGATTTTTGGGTGACAGATAGATTGTCCTGCCAGGAATAATTGGTGTGGGTTTGGTCCCCCTAGCAGCTTGTTCTGAAACTGCAGGGGACTTTCGGGGGAAAATCTTTAAAAGCCAATAGGTCCAGACAGGAACAATGTATTTTCATCATTTTTGGTAGGTAGGTAGCTGAGAGAGATGTACATAACTTAATGCAAATTATGGAAATGAGGACTTTATTTGCATAATAAATGAGGAAATTCTCTAATTACAGTGTTTTACATTGTAGTACTTTAATACATGTAATGTATGTAATCTTTGGCAGATGAAACATCAACAGATACCAATAATGCAAATTATGACCTCATTTGCATAATTAATGTGAAAATTCAATGGGTAAACGATGGGAATTTCCTACTTGGTGTAAATTGTAAATTCATCAAAAGTTAACATCACGATACATTAATTATGTTAATGTAGAGGTCATTTGCATAATTAAAGAGGAAATTTACATTTACACGTCAAGCCCATATTTCATGGAGGTATGTGATATCAGATCTCTTGTTACATATGAAGCTATCTGTGTATAGAATGATGTCGACACTGCTGTTTATCGTACTAGTTTCATTATCAACAGGAAACATGATAAAGACTTAGTTTCACATGGTGACTCATAACCAGAGGCCAGGCTACATAGCTTGGTATTTAATTTTTTTCATAAAGTTCACTTTTCTTCATAAATGTATAGATTTACGAAGAGAAACTGTATTCGAGAGGCTTTTTTTAAAGACGAATTAGTAAGTTATGAATAAACGTAGCGATGATTTTTCTAAAATTTTGTTGATTTGTGATACATTAAAAATGCATTCAAAAACGGCACCTTCATTCTACCAAAAGACAAATAGAAAACACTCCTGTTCTTGTTTAATTTGAAGAATTGTCAATCTCACTTCATCTGCACAAATCAGAAACATATATGCGTTGCTCCTGTAGACGAATATAATGACAAATACCTGTAACACATACATGTTCTACCCATACCAGTTGTAACATGGAACAGACCTTTTTGTTGCAAACTTCCATTCAAATATGAAATGTGATGCCACAGTTGAAAACAACAGTTTGAACAAGATGGTTATCAGTATGAGAAACTTTCCTCACTTAACTCAAGTGAAAATGAGTATTGTCTTGTCCTGTATTTATCCTCTGCGTTGGTGGCGGCATAAAATACTAAAGTTGATATAACTTGAGTGTGCCGTCACCTTGTCTAGTCATGAAATGTTGGAATATAAAAAAAGGACGTTAACGTGTTTCATATCTTGCCCAGTGTATATCCCTTGTAGTTGATGTCTTACCCGATACCGATAGATTAAAAACACTTCCCTTTTTCAGTATGTGGTTAAAAAGACAACAATGACGTGTATCGTGTTTCCTGAATCCATATCACGTGGAAGTCTTCCCCTTTCTGTAGTTCCGGACGCAGTCTGACTGAGAACTCATATTTTTACATTTGTACATTTTAGTGGGGGTGTGAACAAATTAATACACGGGTACAGGATGAAAAAAAACAGCAACATATTGTAATGTTGTATAGATGTGTAAGAAAACATGACATTTGAACCTGTCTGTTTTACTACAGCATTCATGCGTTTACGTGTCTGAAGGATCCTTACCAATGGTTAATCTATCTGGGCGTTTTTTTTTTCAAATATTTTTCTTAACGGCTTGTACACACTTTGACGCTAGGACTGAGCGACACCGTTAAAACAAAAAAAATGACTATTTTATTTGACGACAGCAGACATGTACGTGATGTGGCCCCTGTCACGTATAATTAATGAAATAGCCCCAAGGAAATTGTAATAAAATCACGGAGGCCATATCTTTGTTACCCCACAAGAGTGAGATCCCTGTCAAACCGCACTTTTGGATATTTTTTGAGCAGAACGTCATTATATCATCATCATCATCATAGTTGTTTACTTCCGAGGGGATTTGAAGGGTAAGGAAGAGAAATAATAGTTTCATGGGATCTTTCAGACAATTCAATACGATATGTGCAAATCGAGAGGTCTAAGAGACGATTATAATCAGACAATTCGCCATGGCATAATTTCACAGGGGTTTCACCCCTCCTACTTGTTGATGTAATTGACACCACCTACCTATTTTCAGAGCGTGGCTCCCATAGACTAGAGTTACGTAGATCAGGTTACACCGGGAAGACTTCTCTCTTTTGTTTAGTTTGGTCTGACTAAGTTTTAATACGCACAGGTGCAGAATAATGAATAGGCAGCGGCACCTGGTCAGGTTGCAATAAAAACGCCTTGACATTTTAAAACTTAAAACCCTTGTCCTGCGGAGCATAACAATTGTTGTTTTGCACATACAGTACCATCTATATAGCACCCTGTATAGGTACGATTTGGGGGGTATTTCTCGTGCAACGCATCACACCGCAGCGAAACGCAACCAATACGGAAGTAACTATACCACTGCAAGGAAAAAAAAGTGGGGTGTATGATCTAATTAAGACATGAAAATAGTGAAAAATAGTGTGCCAGGAATGCCAGCAGGACAAGCGTTCTATTTCACAACAGCATTTATCGTTTCCATATCAGCAAATCCACTGATTGTCTTTATAAAAAGTGTAAAAAATGTCTTACGAAATCTTTATGATTTTTTCAACGATCTTAAGCTGTTATCTTCAGAATCTGTTATGGCTGTTCCGATACGTTTGAACCATTAAGTTAACGATGGTTAATATATATACATTTTACACTAAATATATTAAAGAATATCAGTACAATTTTTATTTACAGATCACTTTTGTATATTGCAAAGGCTGTTAGGTAAGGAAATGTACTCTCCCAAGCAGAGGTTGATGGTGGAAGATCGTTTGCGTTTTATATATGGCCCTTTTTTGTCGCTACTACCACCTTGGGTGGGGAAATGGTTACAGACTGGCCAATTTGATACTGTCTTACCCCACCAAAAGATCTGCTTGGAGATTAAGGAACTGGGGTTATGATGTGGTTCACTGCTCTGTTACCGCTTCATTAGGTTTTAACAATGCTGCGGTGCATGTTCCCTGTGACATGTCTATACGTGCAAAATAAGGAACAACCAGTTCCTCTTTCACTTCCTTAAAACGCTGGGTTTTCCCCTGTGAGTCACCAACTAAAGCTTACTAACTGAATTTCCCTATTATCGGTTTAAACATTTTGCTGTTCGGACAGTAACACGGTCAGTGACTCTATTTTCGGACAGATTAGATGACCAAGGGGACAATGTGGGACAAGACACCTTTGTGTGTAATGTTGGTGGTTCTAGCGGTGGTTTTGTCAGTAGAAGGAACAGGTGAGTCTTTTCGTAAAGCTTCCCCTTTCCTAAAACGCTGTCTAACTACATGGCGCCTTAGGGTGTATATATAGTTTATCAGAAAATATATGTCCCTGGGCTTGTTCTACTAAAAGTTATTAATATAGCTTAGCCAAAATGTTTATGTTTTAGAAACGTTTTGAGAGTGTATATGAGTTTCTCATGAGTTTCTCTCTCCCTCTCCCTCTCCCTCTCTCTTTCTCTCACACACTCACACACACACACACACACACACACACACACACACACACACACACACACCTCTTTCTCTGTCTCTCTCTCTCCCTCTCTCTGTAGTTTAGCACTATAACTTAAAAAATCTATGGATGTCTTGTTATGAAACATTGTACACTCCAGATTTTCAATCCCCTGGCGGCCTGTTATAGTACTTCAATTTTTTATATCTCATGCTATTGATATGCTACGGTCAAGGATTATGCAAGGTAAATAGTTCTTCGTTGTAAAAGAATTGGTTTTAGCGCGGACTGGCCTAGCGGCTCTTTCTAGGACTACAGGGAGACTATGGTAATGTCATGTGTGTAAATTTCCTATACATAAGACAGCTTACGGATAGTAGCTAAATAAATATAGATTGATACAGGAATAGATGTTAGGTAAACAGGTAGAGAAATATAAAAATATAATATGTATACAAAGTTAATTCATAATGTTTTGAATAATTTGATTTATAATGTTTTGAATAAAAATCACTATAATACTTTTTTTTCAGAACATTTTTGCCACAACACATGATGTTGATTTCATAATGTTAAATCAAGAAAGTGTAGGAAGTGTGCTTCTCTGTAACCTTACTCTGTCGGTTTTCTGATTTCATCCATAGGTATAGGAGGAAGTATGGCAAAAGAGGTACTTTTAGTTTTTTTTTTTAAATTTAATTATCTAATTACCTTTAGTTATTTTATATTTGCTGATTATAATGTATTGTCAACGATGATGACGGTTGTGAATCAGTTTCTTCTTAAATTTTGTACATTACATGCATGGTATCATCATCATCATCATAGCTTGTCGCCAATCCACTTCAGCCAGTGCATGGTATAGAAGAGTAAAATGCAATCTGGAATATGTTTTCAAGAAATATACACAGGACTACTGACATCACTTCCCTGTTTTGTAGTCAGGGATTTTACAGAAATAACAGTATGGGAGTCATTGATAGGAACAGGTGTCGATATTATATGAATAAGTTGGCTTTAGATTTTATTCCGAAACAGAATGTATACAATCATGTACTACTCAGTTCATGCTAGCGTTATAAACCTTCATTTGAATCTGCACAAAACCAAAAGACAGTTTCTGAAGCAAGGAATGTTTAGATGACTATTATTTTGAATTCAACATTATCTAAAGTTCCTATAATTCTAGAACCGATTTACAACGAAATTGTTTATTTTCCTTTTCAATAGCTGAATTTTGACCCCATGCAGATCCTTTTTTATAGGATCTGGGAAATAGCTAACATTTTTGAGAAAAGCGAAACGTACAAGAAAGTATCTTATACTAAGAGTGTTTCCAGGGGATCAATGCCAAGTTAACGGGCTCAACATACAGTTGTCGAGGTTATGGCCAAATTTTAGATTCAAAGTCTAACTGCCGATACAATTGTTTTGATTTTGATTATATATAGAGGAGGATAAAACCTGCATTTGTGGCCTTCACACATTTCTTAACATTGATGCATTTTCTAATCTTATCTTTTAGAACATCAACTTCTCACTTTTTTTTTCTTAAAATATAGTTTGATTCAAGATGCAACATGCCGAACAACAGGACACAGAACGACAACGTAAGTTTTAAGCTGTACGTGTTTGATGACCAAAACGGGATATATAACAACCGTGCATTGTAATTGGCAAATAGAAACCATAATATCCTGGTGCCAAGTGGTTGTAGTGCGTTGAACGTCGGAACAACAATGCACAAGATACACAGTTCTATCAAATGATACTAAAATATATTCACCATAGTTTGATTAAAATGTAATTATATATTATAGAAAGTAAGAATAGTAAAGTCTCTTTCCTCTTGAATAAAAGGAAGTTGATATTATAAAATAGTATTCTTTACACTATCTGAAAATGTATAACTACGTAGGAAAATAATAATGATTTTTATAATGTCAAAAGCTATATCAACTCTGTAGTTCAACGCATTGTATCTATAAAATATTTATATTTAATATTATAGTTGTCTTTACAGCAATCTTTATATCAATTCTTTTACAAAACCTCCCTATGCCACTGTATCTTCGATGTGTACTCTTAGCACACGTTGGTTAGATTATGTTATACAAGATTTTTTTTTAAATTTTCTTCTTCCTTGTGCAGCAATGGCCGTTCGTCATGTTTTTCCAGAGTCCTTTCATCGAACCACAAGGAAAACACATAACGGGCAGGCCAGGCGGCAACACCCTCAAGTATTCAAAAGTTGTGTTGCACGAAAATTGTGGGTATTTTATAGATATCTCAAGGGTATTAACTTTAAAAGATGATGTTATATATGTTTCAACATACAGATTTATATTGCACCTCACATATCACAAGGAGTCTTTAATCTGTTCCAACTTGTTATAGTTGTATACATATCGCTGCTTTGTTTATGAACGATTTTAGATTTATTTTCTCATACTATATCATATATTGTATTGCTTTCAAGTGTATATTTAACTGGTAATCGTAATGATTTCATGGCTACTATAATTTTGTTTTCCTTTTTATTGCAGGATTTCATATTACATTCTTATTTTTTGTTCCTTTTCTTGTCTTACGTCAATACTTGTAATTGTGGATCAGCTGTTACCAGCTTATTATTTCATTTTATTTGTTATACAGCCAGTACTGCCCAACTAAGGCTAAAGGGCAACTAGCCGAAGAAAGGGCTAGCCATCATAACAAGATACACCAGTAAACAATTAGGAACAGTTAACAATGAATTTTTTTTTGCCGATAAGTACATTTTGTAATACAAAGAGTCATTTTTCACTGGTCTAGATATTGAACAGTAAATAGATTTTTAGCTGTTTGGTTTTCTTTACCCAGGTGGAGCGACTATCTACATCATGGCGGTATCAGCCTACATAAACACGCTGTGGCCAGCGGGTATCACACCGACGTTTGACTGGAGCTGCACGGTGCAGAGGACTACCAACACGACATTTCCAACTGTTAACGTCATATTTGTAAGACATATTATATATAAACAATATCTTGGGGGGGGGGGTACAATGTGCGTTTGGTGACAGAAAAACTAGGTACATAGAACAACAACAACAACAACAAAAACTATGAGAGGAAATATTGATTTTGGTAAAAATACTGACTGGGTGGTTAGAGTTTGTATGTATCAGATTTTACTGATACGTTACATGTATATCTTATACCTCCGCCAGAAGGTTGTTTCGGTAGTGTTTGTATGTATGTATGCATGTATGCATGTATGTATGTGTTTGTGTGTGTGTGTTTGTCTCTATCCATGTGTGTATGTATGTGTGTGTTTGTGTGTGTGTGTATCCATGTGTGTGTGGGGGGGGGTATGTATGTGGTTTAGCACGATAACTTAAGAAACTGTGATTGTATTGTCAGGAAACATGGTACACTGTAGGTATGTAGGTAAGGCAGTGCTTGTATAAAACTGTCACGTTGCTCTTTCTATCACTACAGAACAGTACAATAGCAGACATGAAGACTTACCCCGACATCAAGAAGGAGTGGTACACGGAAGGTAAGGGAACGGACCGCCGCATCCTCATCATTATCAACGTGGCGAACCTCGACACGAGCCACGGCGTGATTCTGGACTGGGTCTGTCAGGCTGAAGTGAAGGGTGGTCCCGCCGCGCTCAGCATTGAAAACGCTCACTTCATCTTTTACCCAATAGGTAACTTAAGACAACAAATGGATCATTCTGAATAAGGCAATCTGTATGATATTGACAGATAACGGGGTCGTGTGGCGCAGCTGTACATGTAGCGCGTTCGGCCCAGGGCCAAGAGGCCCCGGGTTCGATTCCCACCCATGTCACCGATATTGTGCCCTTGGGAAAGGCACTTTACGCGACTTTCCTCCCTTCACTCAGGTGTAAATGAGTACCTAGATTCGGTTAGGGACATCCCTCGGATAGGACGTTAAATGTAGGTCCTGTGTTTAGGAGAGCCACACCCCACGCACGTTAAAGAACTCACCACACTTATTGAAGAGAGTAGGGGTCCGTCCCGGTGTGAGTGGTTCAAAACCTTATAGTCCGGTCTTACGCAGCTTGTACATGTACGCACATGTACAAAACTGTTGTGTTACGCCTAAATGCGGTTTACCGGTTATGCGAAACAAACAAACAAAATTTTCCTCATTAGCACCTTTGAATTAGTATTTCATTCGTTAGGCATTTAAAACTGCAGAAACAAAGCTCGAGATGAGTCCTTTGTTTTCCTGGGTGGTATCCTAAAACTCAATCCAGGTCCGTTCAGTAACATTGGGACAGTGTTTTACGCAGAAGGACTTTGAGCTGATATGCCTGATGTTTAAAAACCATTCAGGTGTATAGTAATTGAGTGCTGTTTGAGCCATTTAGTCTCTTGTACTGATGGATATCGTTTTTTTAATTGTTTTTTTAGGATGCCCCAAAGGCAAATATGGCGGGGAGTGTGAGCACGACTGTAAATGTCCTCCCATCGCCGCCTGTCATACATTCACCGGGGCCTGCAAATGTCCGCCTGGCTGGAAGGGCGACTGCGAAAGTAAGCTTTTTTTTGTTTAAAGTTAAAACTTTTGGTCAAACACAAAAATTCTTTCACCTAGAGCTTTCGACCAGTCACTCTGGTCTTCCTCAGTAGACTGACCCAGTGAAGCTTGTCACGTGGCTTCTTTGTTAAGTTTTTTTTCACCTTGAAAATTAATCTGTGTTCGTAGAAGCCTTTATCAAATAGATTTAGACTGTAATTTTCATCACGAGAAATTGGTATTTTATTAAACATAAAGTATGCTACACATCATATGTTGATTAGGCCACACCAATTTAATTTGTTGTTTGTCGGATTCGCCCTGTTAATTTTTTTCTGATTTGCCCCGAAAATTGTTCTAAACCAACCGCAAAATGCTAAATGAAAGACATGTTTTGGTCATGTTTTGACGAAAGTCCTTTTCTTCCTGGTTGGTAAAGTTTTAAATGAAACAATGCAATTTTGTTTTATTAAAAGTTCAAAATCTATTGTTTTAATCATAAATCAGCCCGGTATGTTCACTTCATGGCTCATATTGTATCATTTCCCGCTTTAATGGGGTGCCTTTGCCTGTTTTGTTTATTTCGCCCTGTCGCTTCATTTTTTTTTCTGAAAAAAAAAATCCGAGAAACAACAAATTAAATTGTTGTGGCCTTAATATTGAATACACTTTCCCTGAACCTACACAGTTAAACCGTCGGGTGGATCTAAAGCGGCGACCGTAGTCCTCAGTGTTCTACTGGTGCTGATGGTGGTGGCCGGCCTGGCATGGTGCTGGCGAAGGAACACTAGAATGGCGAGGTACCGGACATTGGAAGACCTGTAAAAAGGCCACAAAGGAACCCGAAATTTTACTGTTGTCAGGCCTTGAAATTAAATTTTCTTCCTTTTGCCCCCCCTCCCTAAAATTCTATTGTCCCGATGTGAGGATGAACAGTCCCAACCTGCTTTGCGGGACGTATTAAATTATATATATTAAATTGAATTATTTTGCTCATGTTCACTCCAAGGCGCACTATAATTGGCAGAATAGACAGGAAATTCAGGAGGATTTTCCGGATCCAAAAGTGTGTCTTATAATCAAAAGAAAGGCTTACATTCTGATGTTGATTATTTTCTTTGACCCAAAACTTTCCTAAAGTTTCTTTTCTGTAGTACCAGCCTACATTTTAGTGTCCATTGGACCACCTTAAATTTCGAGCCCTGGTTATTTTATTCACCGACTTCAGTTTTACATGATAAAGGAAGCTATGTAAAATGTTTGGTGTACTAGACATGTTCGGAAAGATACAAACTTTATATGCTGTTAAATTAGTGTTCTAGTTGCGTCTAGTGTCAGAAACGCTGTAGGAAAGAGATAGAACATGTTAACATGTAGGTTTAATGGCGTTAATCTGTAGGTAAACATTTTTGTTGTCAATAATGCTGATAGCCTAGAAGTCGGGAGTAATATGTGACGATCGCTTAAAAGTTCTAACATAAGTGTGTATTAAAACGCAGCTTTTAACACATGAAGAATCAGCGGTGTACAGAAACGTTGTGTAGTCTATGTTTATCGGCAAGAGTATGGTATAGAACATATAATTGTTTGACTTGCAAATAATCTTTTGAACATGGCTTTTGTAACTGTGAAGTCAACTTCTATAGGTGGCCGAGTGGTCCTTATGTAGAGGTGACCACTACTACAGGTTTGACTGTATATCAATGACTAGGTGACCGTTATGTAGAGGTGACCACTACTACAGGTTTGACTGTATATCAATGACTAGGTGATCGTTATGTTGAGGTGGCCACTAGTACAGTTTTAACTATATCTCGATGACTAGGTGATCGTTATGTAGAGGTGGCCACTAGTACAGGTTTGACTGTATATCAATGACTAGGTGATCGTTATTTAGAGGTGGCCACTAGTACAGTTTTGTATATCGATGACCAGTTAAGTTGAGTTAAGTTCTTGAATAGATCTCAAAGGTTGGGCTTTCAAATTGAAACGATAGGTGGCATGATTTAAAACCCCTGATACTAGTACATGTAGTTCCGAACCAAACGGAAAGTGCAGAGGTAACGGAAACAGCTCCGCCTAGAGATCCAATGGTTCATTGCAGTGTTAGAACATCTGGGACGTAGGGCTAAAATGGCCATGGCTGTACCTGATACGAAGGGTATTTTATATCAACCATTTTCGCATGTGAATGCCGGATATAACAGTGTTACAGTCGGTAAATTGCCCAGAAAAGTCACTGACAACAGATATGTGACCCCATGACTCCGCTTTATTCAGTATGTACGGAACTCCGGATGTTTCCTTGTCTCATCACAAGACATAATACAGTACGTCTTGCCAATCTACATCTTACAACACAGTCAAGAGACAACAGTTTACTTATCAAGAACATTACTACATTTTATATAAAGTGTGTGCTTATCGTTAGTTTATACGAATGTGTGTTTTAGTGTATGTGTTACGTGGAGAAAAAGTTTACAGACAACGGTTTCTCAGATACCCACCCCATTAAAACGTGTACGTAGTACAAGCACTGCTGCAGATCGAAATACATCATTTGGCATAGAAATAATGTACTGTAAGGGTTATTGATACAATTCTGATAGTGATATGAATTGATAAGTTAACTCTGTCACATTGAGCTCTGTGTTCTGCGAATTGAGTCATTGTCACATTACCCATTTTTTCACCGCGATATTTCTTTGCTGCAAGTAATTATTATAAGAAATGAATACGCAAAAGCAGATTCTGAAATATAAGAAAGAAACACAGGAGATTTTGTATGTAAACTTAGAAGAGAGAAGGGTCCCTTATACCTTGTGCACACCAGTTACAGTAAATTTAGAAGTTTAGATAAAGTATAGTTGTAATCTGCACCAGAGTCTAGCAATACGCGATTAGAACAAGAAGACGACCCCAAATAACAGGTATAGCAGCAAGTAAGCTACTAGACGAAAGAAGAAAGAGTATATCGTAAATATGAACATATTGTAAAATACGAAAATAGCAAAAGAGTGTTTGTATAATATACGTTTAGAAGAGAGGGGGCTTCCATACGCATTAGTACAATGTAATAGAAATCACCATCTACTGAAACGCAGGAGTTACAGTCAATTCAAAGGTAAGAGAAAGCCGTGTAGCCTTCGAATTCCTATGCACCACAGTCTAGCAGTGCGCGAGCAGAACATCAAGTAGCCACCAGCTAACTTTTACCTTTATACCTTTATCATTAAGCGTCACTAGATAGCCTACAATTATAGTGGTTTGGTTTAGCTAGAGAGACTAAGCGAGAAAATACTATTGTCGGTATGATGATAACGTTCATTACAGCATCTCTAATTAATTGATATGAAGTGTTTGTACTGTTTGTTATGATGAAAAAGTTCACGATGTTTAGATAGAAGAATGCCTTTGCTATTGGTGTATGGTGATAAAGTTCCCTAGCCTGTCTCTAACCTTATCTCTAACCTTAGACGTTGAGTCTTTTCTTTTGTTGGTCTGATGCTTTGTATGCTGATTAAGGTCAATTAACTGAAGACGATTTTCCTTTACGAATACTGCCAAACCCTAGCCTCCTTAGCTGTGCCCCCAAAAGACCCCAAGATACAAATAGAGGTGATATGACAGAGGAAAAAAGCGCACTATGAAGGCTGCCTCAAAAGCCCAGGTGCAGAGCCTGCAAAGGAGACTAGTCAAGATTAGAGGCAAGCATAAGAATTCTACATCGTTTCTGTATGTTTAGCTGTGGTCCTGGTGGAGGGAGAACACTCTAGGCTTTGGTGTCAGCAATGTCAGCCTTGTTCATCTTTCCCCAACTCTGGAACGCGTAGTTGTCCAGTCCTAACAGAGAAAACAGAATCCACTAATCAAAACGGTGCCACAATCCACAGACCCATAATAAGGCCTCGCATACTTACTGTAACAGTTACATAGCATCTACGGAGCGCTAGGGTCAGCATTTCTAGTGCTAGAATAGAAATCATATTTCCTTTGACTTGTGGTAGTTTATGTGGCATTGCGCTATATAACGACTTGTCATGCAAGACTTGCGATTTTACATATACCGTCTAAAGCAGAAATGGTTTGCAAGAAAGATGATAATTTAGTGTTTACTTTTCTTTCTTGGATGAAACATATAGATGCAAAATAACTGATTCAATTTCTACTAAACTGATTATAATTTAGTTTCAAATATTACCATGTCACAAAGTAATAGAACAAAACTACAGGACTTACCGACAGTGTCGTCATCACGCTTCTTCCTCCCTAAGGCCAGGCCGCCCCGTTTCTTCGCCAGGCCACCGGCCACGATCAGAAGCACCATGATCCCGGCAACTCCAACAGCCGCTCCCACCGCGGTACCCAGCGGCACTCCGGCTGGTCCTGTGGAACATGAGGAACCATTCTAATGTCTTGCTTATATTCTAAAGTTTGCTTTGACCTTCACTTTGTCATATTTCTCACCATCAAGCATCAATATCCAAAGATCCATATAAGCACAATGTAAGCAGCATCTAGAACAAAAATGCAAGCAATGCCTGCACATATTCTACTATATTTTCAGGAACCCAAATTTCAATAACACATTGAGGTGTATTTATGTCTAGCTGCATTAGCAATCCTTCCCGAAATGTATTAATTTTCCGTCTTCCTTACTGCTCGCGGAAACGTATTTCATCATCTACCTGTTCCTGCTTCTTCTCCGGACTGCACCTGGAAGGGTCCTTGGGTGATGTCCGCCCGCTTGTCCCTGCTGCTCTCCCGGCGAACCCTGGTCTCCGTCCCGTCCGAGACGGCTCGCCTGCGGCGTGCTGCTGGCGGGATGCAGCCCTGTTTGCACCGGGAGTCAGGGTCGTCCTTGAAGCAGATGATCATGGTGCAGTGGAAGTAAACCTGATGGAATAATGGAATATGTCATTGACAACAGCATTGAGCAGACCCAAACCTCCGCCAAACTTTTTAAAACATATGTTTGCTGTTTTTGCTGTTCTATCGTTTCAGCTGACCCATCATTTGTGTTGGTGTATGCATGCCCTTAAACTCATGATACCGAACATGTGCTTTAGAAGAGCTTGTCATTCAGATATATGACATAAGCCACTGTAATTATCGCCAAGCATTTAACCATCCATATCTTCCCGACCCATCAGTCACCACAAAAGTGTCAGCTTTGAAACACTGATTGTATTCTACCAGACTGGGGTCGAGAGCGTTGGGAAACGCGAAGGCATCCACGCCGTAGCACAGGGCCTTGTCGTTAGAAAGGTCATCGTCCTTCTGTAGAGTTTCATCAACCTGGCAGCTACAAATTCAGATGGAACAAGTCATTTATAGCCAGACCCTTTTATACTAAAAGGTAATTCGTGATTGCCACAATATTGCATATAGAACCATCCAACCAACCAACCAACCAACCAACCAACCAACCAACCAACCAACCAACCAACCACTTAAACAAGTAACCAAGCAACCCACCAACAAACTTATCACTAACAATGAAATTGATAAGCAAGAAAAATTCAGGGTACCAAACAAAGCATCCAACCAACTAGCCAATAAACCATGCATACGGTCAGCTAGCTATCCAGCTAGCTAGCCAGATAAGAGGCCAAGCAACAAACTAATCAACTAGGCAGCCAAATTCACCCACCTACCACAACCAAATGACCAACTAGCCAAGAAACCGGTCAGCTAGCCAGCCAGCTAGTTACTTAGTAGCCAGACATCAAACCAAGCAACAAACTAACTAGGCAGCCAAAATTATCCACCTGTCGCAACCAAACAACTTAAGTTCTAAGTAATCAAATATTTAAGCAAATGTAGTCAAATACGTACCCATCGGCGATGATTCTGACCCTAGGAGAGTCGGCAGGGTTGGTGGTGGGGGTGGAGACACAGTCACGGGCGAACAGCTCCAGGTTGTCCAGAGATGACGCCACGCTCAGGCCGAAGTGAAGACGGTCAGATGGTGAGACCTGTGGGGTGTACAAGAGCAGTTTCTTTCTATTAATTGAGCTTATTGACATGCCCTTTAGTTTCTTTTTGGGAATAATCTTCGAGGGATCGTCAAACAATACAAACACATAAAACAGATATACAAATAAGTACTGATTTACATACACAGACTTTAAAAAGTAAGAATCAAGAACTGAGAAGCAGAAGTCAGATCAGAGAACTAATAATGACTAAAATGGTCAAATCAACTAATCATCAATTAGTGAAGGTATAATACTTGGTTTTACTAAATCACTAAACTGATAGAATATAGTTGTGTAAACTATATCATCGCAAAGATTAAAGCCGTTATGTTGAATCAAATTGATCAGTGATTTGTTCATTTCGTAGATGTCTTTCTTTCGTGTCAGAACATAATAAGTTTATAAGGAGACTGGTTAAGCTTTATATAGATAAAAACTAGCTAACCTGAAGCGGGAAGTCAGAACTCTTGTAGGTTGCACTGAAGTCTTCCGAAGTGTACATATGCATCTCCATGGTGAAGCTGTTGTTGGCGTCAATGATTTGTAGGCTGCAAGAGGATTGCAAAAACTGGTTACAGAAGCAGTAAACCTAAACATTGAACCAACCAACTACTCTGCAATCATTAATCACGTTGTTGATAATCAAGAAGTCACTGTTAAACATAGTCTTATGTATAAGATGTGGGGATTTTCTTCATACACAACCCGTACTGTCTTACCTGCTTTATAAGTTTCGATGTCTATCAGACACCTTCCTCAGAGCTTCTGACTGTAGTTCTGCTTCTCCCCGCTATTATTAGCCGTATAGATACCCATATCCTATGCCCTACCATCCTGATGAACATATTTTAGATAGTCTTATGCATGTTTAAGCCACAGCAGGTAGGATCTTACCGAGGAGAGGGGATGTTATACATGATGTCGTCACCCTGGGAAACTACGTGCTGACGGAGGAACTCGCACTGGAAGGGCAGGTTTACCGGCTGGTTACGCACAGCGCCGTTGGTCTGAGTCACTTGGTTGGCAATGACTTCGTTGGAGAAGATAAATTTGTCGTCTCCTGAGGTCTGAGGACATGTAAGAGGCACGACAACCAAATAAAAGATGCATTAAAAAGGAATAAAGCACGGAACCTCAAATCAGTTGGCTTAAAAAAAAAGGTACCTATCATTTATACAGAACAATTTTAAGTGAAATTATTCACGAAATTTTAAGTGAAGCAAATTGTTTCGGATCATGTCTTTTTTACAGTAGGTCACAAGAATTTCCAAAGACGACCACTTGAGTTAACAACACTCTAGGTTGGGAGGAACTGAGATTTTCTGTCTTACCTCCTGCCTGGTTCCGCACTCCTGCAGGTGTGTCTCCAACTTAAAGACATCTTCGTCCTCAGTAGCTCCACAGTCCGGGTCCAGCAGGTGCAGGTCCTCCACATTCACAGCCGGCAGCGCCGCACGGGGGATGGACAGACTCATACTGTCCTGGTCGCACACTACGTTCACCACAAACGAATCTGTAATGATAACAGTAAGACTGTATCATTTTCTATGTACCATGTGTGACCATGTTGATGTACAGGGAGAAGACTTTGAGAAGCTTCAATTTCAAGTAAACGTTTAATATCAAACCTTTCGCCAGGGAATGAAACAGTTAAATTCAAAAGCCCTTGCAACTTTCTTTTAAACATAGTCTTCTACTAAGAATTATAGCACAAAGGCGTACAAGAAGCATATTTGAATTCGAGTGCCACCTGGGGAAAGCATCTCATCATTTGCGGGAGAAAATTGTGTGACTGGGTCTACGTCAACTATAATGAACTGCAAGCCCTGGTAGCAGGAAAATTGATTTTGGATTCGAACCCCTAACCTTCTGATCCAGAGACAGGATTGCTTACAATGCATATACAATGTAGCACAAACTTCTGTTAGGCCCCGAATTCAATACATCATTTTCACATCACCCACCTGTGGTATATGTGCCACTGATTTCCCCGTTTGGCTGGTCGTCCTCGTCAAAAGAAGTCAGCGTGATGGTGTATTCCGTGTCGGCCAACAGTCCCTGCACGGTTGCCGAGGTGGCTCCGATTTCTGGTGCGGGGGAGAGGTCCTGGTACGAGCCCGACCCGTCTGCCGGCTGGTAGCGGAGCCTGTAGCGCGAGATCGGAAGATTCCCCACGACTGTCCAGGAAACGGTGAGATGACCAATCCCAACTTCATCTAGGATCAGCCTCGAGAGCGCTGGAAATGTATGGTATATTGCTTAACAATGATGAAACGTTCTATTTCTCTTTCTTTCTTAGGAAAATATGATATCAATTAAGATTTAATGTACCCGGAAAAAACTGAAACTTCGTCCCTTTAAATGAGCTCTAGAGACACTGCTTGTTGTATCCACGCATAGTCCAAAACTCTGGTACAAAACATTTCGGACCAAACACCGTCAACTAACAATCAAATTAACATTTAATGTACCCTGGAAAAACTGAAACTTCGCCCATTTAAAAAAGTTCTAAAGACACTGCTGGCATACATGCATAGTCCAAAAGGCAGGTAATTTTTTTTTAAAGATCAGAATCTTACATCTTCATAAATAAATAATCTTTAGCTCTATGGGAACAGCAGTATAACTTAGTTACCTGCACAAGACACCCCCGTGTCACATGCCTGTGTCTCCTGAGCAGGTCCGTCACAGTCTGCTCCACCGTTCTCTGGTGCAGGGTTGGTGCAGGTTCTGTCCCGAGTCTCCGTCCCGACTCCACACGTCACGTTGCAGCCAGACCATGGGCCCCAGTCGGACCAACCGCCATCAACTAATTGGAGACAAAATACCTTTAATTTATAACCCTCATATAGGAGGTCTATAGACACTGCTGGTTTAGTCCATGCGTATTTAACATCATATAAATAACTTTTTTCAAGATCAGAATCTTACATCTGGTAAATGATCTTGAAATACATGGTGACAACTGTTACATTTGCAAGTTACCTGGACAAGACACCCCCGTGTCACATGCCTGTGTCTCCTGAGCAGGTCCGTCACAGTCTACCCCACCGTTTGCTGGTGCAGGGTTGGTGCAGGTTCTGTCCCGAGTCTCCGTCCCGACTCCACACGTCACGTTGCAGCCAGACCATGGGGACCAGTCGGACCAACCGCCGTCAACTAACAATCAAATTAATATTTAATGTACCCTGGAAAAACTGAAACTTCGCCCATTTGAAAAAGTTCTAAAGACACTGCTGGCAACCATGCATAGTCCAAAAGGCAGGTAATTTTTTTTTCAAGATCAGAATCTTACATCTTCTCATAAATAATCTTAAGCTCTATAGGAACAGCAGTATAACATAATTACCTGGACAGGACACCCCCGTGTCACATGCCTGTGTCTCCTGAGCAGGTCCGTCACAGTCTGCCCCACCGTTCTCTGGTGCAGGGTTGGTGCAGGTTCTGTCCCGAGTCTCCGTCCCGACTCCACACGTCACGTTGCAGTCAGACCATGCGCCCCAGTCGGACCAACCACCGTCAACTGTGATAATTACAACGTAAATAGATATTTAGAGCCTTTGTTTATTGTCGTATTTGGTACCAATAAGGTTGCAATAAGCAGAATCTATCGCCTTCTCTTAGGCAGGCATCTGTTGATGTTTATATGGCCCTAGACTACACTTAGAACACAGTCGTTTTCCCTCGGCTAATCACGAGCGCGTTTTTTTGTCCTAAATCTGCATAATGTGGTTTCCCAAGAGCTAGGGGTGTAATAACGAAACGAATAGATGAATATCGCCGCGTGGCCTATCCTGGCAAATCTTTTTTGCTTCGTTTCCGAAAAAAGAATACCTTCTCACTTAATCTACTTAGTAATACATAGCCGTCCTTGTATCCTTTATATCCCTCTTACCGTTACAGGCGATCTCGTTTCCTGAGTTGCATATGCATTCGTCGCCCTCATCTTCCCATACTGCTCCAAGCTGAAATGGTGTAAAAAGGTAAAAAGGCAACAAATCTTATGAATCTTAACAGTCATAGGCAACGTTGGTCCGCACTGTCATTATGTTACAGCATACACATGACGCAGAGTTGCAATGTCAACATTACTGTCTGCTAGGGCAATATTTCTATAAATTTGCCTTTTATTACTGCAGATCTATGTTGCTTGGAAGAGTTAGAGTCAATTCATCTTGTGTATATATTCCGTCAAGGAAACCGTATTGATAAAACACAATTTTTAAAGCTGAAAAAGGAGTAGCTGGAATATTCAGGGTGATGACGTACAGTCATTCACGATACATCACACTTACCTCATGGTAGTATCCATCATCGTCGGTGCAGCCACAGCTCTCTTGAGGTACGCACTCCGGTCCACTTTGCACGTAGCCTGGATTGCACTCACAGCCTTCAGCACAGGGAAGGGTGCAGCTGTCTGGGGCGCTGGGGTTCATGCAGGTCGCAGGGCAGGCGGTTGTACATGACGAGTTGGTGCTGTTCGCTGGGCAATCCGAAGCTATGGAAAACAAAGTTTATTTTCCTCGATGAAGGTTAGACATAAAGAAAACTAGAGTTCCGCGATCTCATACCTTCGCCAAATGATGTTAATCTTTATGGCTGACAAATATAGATTATTCCCCCTGATTGTGCAGATAGGGTCCTCATTTCCATGAATTATATCAGTCTTTATCATATTCTCAACCAAAAGACAGTCTTATATTAACAAAAGGTGCCATTCTATTATTTCCTCATAAATTATGCAAATAAGGTCCTGATTTAAATACATCATGTTTAATGATGTTTACCTTCACTGAACTTTCAAATACCACAAGTATGAAATTCCAGGCAGTTATCTTTACAGAATTATAACATTTTCTCATTAATTATGCAAATTAAGTCCTCATTTACATAATCAATATCTGCCTGTGCTTCTCTCCTTTTCAATTACCATTCTCACAAGCTTCAATAGTCCTATCATGGAATGCAGCTGATTTATAGAATATCCCCATAAATTATGCAAATCACATCCACATTTGCATAATTGTCACATAATTACATCAAGCATCACGTAAGCTACCTACATACCAAAAATCACGACGATCCGTCAACTGGTTCTTGAGTTATCCTCTTTTGAATATTTTCAAACAGATAGCCCTGCAGTTCCAGAGCAAGCCGCTAGGGGGCTCAAACTGATGTCACTTCTTCCCTAGCACAAGAGCTACCTACCACCTAAATTTCGTCACCCTAGCATGTCTAGATCCTGAGATATCAAAACCGGAAGTTTAGCTGCAGTACCATAACAAGCCGCTAGGGGGCCCAAAATCTAATCAGTTCGAGCTCTCATCAAGACCTACCCACCTACCAAATATCAAGATAATACATCTAAGCTTTCTCGAGATATGCTGTTGACACACAGACAGACAGACACACACACGGCCACGAAAACATAACCTTCTCCAATTCTTGGCGAAGGTAACTAGTGGATACTGGCTGAAACGTCTGACCGTTTCCAAAATCATATCCAGTTGCTTGAGTAACTGCTTTGTGGCGTAAAGTTTATTTTTGTTAATACAATCTTTGGGAATACAAAACTACATTTACAACAGGAGGTTAACAAACACATTTTTCCCTTAGATGTCTGTCATGGCATTTTTGTGTCTGTCCTGCAGCTGTAGTCATAAAACTAGAACAGAACATGATAAGGTGATGTCAAATACAATAACACTATGTAGCGACTTGTACAAATAAAGCACATAAAATTGCAAATGATGTAAGACGAACTAACGTGTTACAATCATGTAGACTTCGTTTGCCCACCACCCTCCCTCGCCGTCGGGTTGGCAACTGGTAGATGGGCCGTGCTTGTTGTAAGTCTGCATTGCATCTGCTGACGAATGACACCACCCGCCATTCTATACATAAAGTGCAAAATGGATCACAATTTTACGATATAGAACTAACTGTAAAGAGAAAAGAAGCGAAATTGAGCATCAAACACCACAAAATACAAAGGGTCTATAGAATCAAAATGAAGTATACCGAAACAGATGAACTTTCATGCTTAAGTCTATAGGATCATTTACAACAACCATTATGTAAAACAAAAATCTATAACTTCCTTTCCTTCATTAAGAATTAGAAGGCATTGGAAATTTATCTGGCAGGGTTGAAAACAATCCTGTTTTCAACGGCAAAACTTATATCTAGGGCAGCTTTTAACAATTTAACGCTCATTCGACTGTATGAGGTTTGTTTGGATCCCATGCAGCCGGATTAGTCGCAAAAATTCATAAGTGGAAAGAGGGCGCACCTGGATTGCGAACACGGTGTACCCCCGGCTGGCAGCAGCGCTCTGGCACGCGCTGACGGCGTTGGTCCGTAACGTGTAGTGAACGGTCAGGAAGGGGTCTCCTTGTCCATCCAGGTCCGGCAAAGCGCGGTCAGGGGTGTCCCTCCAACACCCGAGGCGCCACGGCTGTCCTAGTAGTTAGGGAAGAGGCAAAGTGGAAAAAAACTGAAACTTCAACCTTTTGAATGAGTTCTATAGGCACCGCTGGTATCCATGCATAGCCCTAAAAGCAAGTGAGATGACATCAAGATCAGAAACTTACATTCCCGGATAAATAATCTTAAGACCCACAGTTAAGGCAGTATAGTTACCTGGACAGGACACCCCCGTGTCACATGCCTGTGTCTCCTGAGCAGATCCGTCACAGTCTGCCCCACCGTTCTCTGGTGCAGGGTTGGTGCAGGTTCTGTCCCGAGTCTCCGTCCCGACTCCACACGTCACGTTGCAGCCAGACCATGCGCCCCAATCGGACCAACCACCGTCAACTAATTGGAGACAAATCAAGATTCAACGTACGAGGAAATACTACAACTTTGCCCTTTGAAGAATTTCTAAAGACACTGCTGGTTATATGTACACGTAGCCCATGAAGCAAGAACCTTATGTCAAGATCAGAATCTTACATGTCCTCTTAACTGATCTTAAGATCCATGATGACAGCATTATCAAGTTATTCACCTGGACAGACACCCCCGTGTCACATGCCTGTGTCTCCTGAGCAGGTCCGTCACAGTCTGCCCCACCGTTCTCTGGTGCAGGGTTGGTGCAGGTTCTGTCCCGAGTCTCCGTCCCGACTCCACACGTCACGTTGCAGCCAGACCATGCGCCCCAATCGGACCAACCACCGTCAACTAATTGGAGACAAATCAAGATTCAACGTACGAGGAAATACTACAACTTTGTCCCTTTGAAGAATTTCTAAAGACACTGCTGGTTATATCTACACGTAGCCCATGAAGCAAGAACCTTATGTCAAGATCAGAATCTTACATGTCCTCTTAACTGATCTTAAGATCCATGATGACAGCATTATCAAGTTATTCACCTGGACAAGACACCCCCGTGTCACATGCCTGTGTCTCCTGAGCAGATCCGTCACAGTCTGCCCCACCGTTCTCTCGGTGCCTAGGGTTGGTGCAGGTTCTGTCCCGAGTCTCCGTCCCGACTCCACACGTCACGTTGCAGCCAGACCATGCGCCCAATCGGACCAACCACCGTCAACTAATTGGAGACAAATCAAGATTCAACGTACGAGGAAATACTACAACTTTGTCCCTTTGAAGAATTTCTAAAGACACTGCTGGTTATATCTACACGTAGCCCATGAAGCAAGAACCTTATGTCAAGATCAGAATCTTACATGTCCTCTTAACTGATCTTAAGATCCATGATGACAGCATTATCAAGTTATTCACCTGGACAAGACACCCCCGTGTCACATGCCTGTGTCTCCTGAGCAGGTCCGTCACAGTCTGCCCCACCGTTCTCTGGTGCAGGGTTGGTGCAGGTTCTGTCCCGAGTCTCCGTCCCGACTCCACACGTCACGCTGCAGGCAGACCATGGAAACCAGTCGGACCAACCACCGTCAACTATATATGCAAACAGAAAAAATCCAATGTTTTCTGAAAAACTAATATTTTGGCCCTTTAAAATAGTACAATAGACGCTGCTTAGTGGTATTCTAGGAAATTGACATCAAGCTTGCTCAGGGGAACTGGTTGCATGAGGATCATAATCTTACTTATTTACCATGACAAATGAAAACCTATTGCTATGTTGTTTACTGAAAACATGGTTTTTCCTTTGCTTCTTTACTAGTATTTCTTTTATAATTTGCTTAGAGAGATACATCGAATATACGTATGTAGGAGTATAACGTCGAGTTACCTGGACAAGACACCCCCGTGTCACATGCCTGTGTCTCCTGAGCAGGTCCGTCACAGTCTGCCCCTCCGTTCTCTGGTGCAGGGTTGGTGCAGGTTCTGTCCCGAGTCTCCGTCCCGACTCCACACGTCACGCTGCAGCCAGACCATGGGCCCCAGTCGGACCAACCACCGTCAACTAATTGGAGACAAATTAACCAACATTGCGTCCCTTTGTAGAAGATCTATAGAACCTGCTGATTGTCTCTATGCATAGTGCAAAAACGGTGAATAAAACTATAATTTCAAGTTCAAAATCATTTTCTGATTTAAGGTAACAGCAGTAAAACTTAATTACCTGGACAAGACACCCCCGTGTCACAGGCCTGTGTCTCTTGATCTGGTCCGTCACAGTCTGCCCCTCCGTTCGCTGGTGCAGGGTTGGTGCAGGTTCTGTCCCGAGTCTCCGTCCCGACTCCACATGTCCCTACACAGGCTGACCATGGGCCCCAGTCGGACCAACCGCCATCAACTAATTGGGGACAAAACAACATTCAATTACTCTGGAAAACTGAAACCCCTCCATTTGGGATAAGGTCCATGAACACTTCTGGTTGTATCCATGCGTAGTCCAAAAAGCAGGCACAAAACTTATTTCAGCATCAGGATTTTACACTTCCTCATAAATGATATTTAGATCCAAGTTGAAAGCAGTTACCTGGACAAGACACCCCTGTGTCACATGCCTGTGTCTCCTGAGCTGTACCGTCACAGTCTGCCCCACCGTTCTCTGGTGCAGGGTTGGTGCAGGTTTTGTCCCGAGTCTCCGTCCCGACTCCACACGTCACGCTGCAGCCAGACCACGCGCCCCAGTCAGACCAACCACCGTCAACTAACAATCATATTAACATTGAAAGTAACCTAGGCTGAAACTTCGCCAATTTGAATGGGTTCTAAAGACACTGCTGGCATTCATGCATAGTCCAAAAGGCAGGTAAAAATCTTATTTTAAGATCTATACATACTCCTCATAAATAACCTTAACCTCTATGGTAACAGCAGTATAACTCAGTTACCTGGACAAGACACCACCGTGTCACATGCCTGTGTCTCCCGAGTGGGACCGTCACAGTCTGCCCCACCGTTCTCTGGTGCAGGGCTGCTGCAGGTTCTGTCCCGAGTCTCCGTCCCGACTCCACACGTCACGCTGCAGCCAGACCATGGGGACCAGTCGGACCAACCACCGTCAACTACATGGAGAAAAAATGTTATTCTGTAAACCGTTGCCACTTCAGTACATGTGACACTACAAACACAGGCTGTATTCATGTTTTGCATGTTGCAAAAAGCATGCAAAATGGAAATGATTGGTTAGGGAACCAATCCCAGTTTGTGAAGAGGAATGGACACCACTTTGTTGTTAACATTGTCAATTTTGCCTGTGGACAGGGCGGTATGATATTTCTTATCTGAAGACGAAAACATTGAGATTACATTTTCAGCGATACACATGTATAGCTTCGACTTACCTGGGCAAGACCCTGCGTTGCATTGCTGCGTTTCTTGAGCTGGTCCGGCACAGTTCGCCCCTCCGTACGCTGGTGCAGGGTTGGTGCAGGATCTACTCCGAGACTGGCTCCCGGACCCACACGTCACGCTGCAGCCAGACCATCCGCTCCAGCTCGACCAACCTCCGTTAACTACATGGAGACAGATCAAAATGTAAGGTATTCTCCAAAAACTAAACTCCGTCCCTTTTAAACAGCACTATAGACACTTCTATGTGTATTCTTGCAAAGTGCAAAAACATTCGCATAGATGAATATTGCATTGGGGATCTCTTCCTGTTTTGTAAACTTATGACATTGTCAACTTGTCATGTGGCACACGGGACGACATAATTCTTCTTATCTGAAGAGGAAACTACAAGCGGCGATACGCATGTGTAACTCGGAGTTACCTGGGCAAGCCCCCGCGTTGCATTGTTGCGTTTCCTGATCGGGTCCGTCACAGTCTGCCCCTCCGTAGGCTGGTGCAGGGTTGGTGCAGGTTCTGTCCCGAGTCTCCGTCCCGACTCCACACGTCACGCTGCAGGCAGACCATGGACCCCAGTCAGACCAACCACCATCAACTGTTATACATAAAACGACAGGAGATATTTAGATCTTGTAACCAATTTTTTTGCTTGGTCTATATATCTTTTGCCTCATTGTTTATGAAAATAAGATCTAAGCAATCACAATCTATTCCAAATAGAATGTGATATTTCAATATTTCATCGGGCTTTGTGGGAGATATACCACCTAGTTTAGCTTCCAAAGGGTCAAGTAAAACTTATACAAAGTGATCAACTTAAATTGATTAGTTAAAAACGTCAAGAATAAATCAACAAATCATCATGAACTTACGGATATTGCCACAGCCTAGAATCTCCACCCTCATGCTGATGTGACCGTGCCAGGACTGAACCACGAAACGCACATAACGGGCATCAACTGGCTTGTCCAGTAGGTTTGTCACAGGTGTGTTCATATCCGTGTTGCCTGTGAAAACCTGAAGGGACGATTCAGATGAGGACATAGTTACATTTTCTGGGGAGTAATGATTAAGGTTAACCTTGGCTGCCGACCTCCATACGTGTCATAACTAGGCACCTTATACAAGGCCAAGGTTTGACATTCGTCAAAAAACATCTTCGAAACGGACAGACGCTAATTGCCAGTTTTTTTTTTATTGAAATTAAAAATGTGATTATTTGGGACAGCTTTAAAGAAAGCTAGATGCGGTAACGAAACACTCAATTATTTTGTCACCACAAACGCAGAGGACAAATACAAGACAACTTTCAACAGCGTCACATTTTAAAGTAACTACCTACATGTGAGTATGGGATATTGTCGCATCTACGTTACCTTATCAGATCCATCACTGCCGGTATACGTCGTCCAAGTAGTCCCATCTGCACCGTACTGGAGTTTGTATGACGTCACCCATTGTTCATAATCGCGCTGACGACCCTGAGTGATGACTCCTGTGACGCGTTTCGTCTCTCCTAAATCCACCTGAAATGTATAATGATAATGTTGGAGTGTAACAAAGTACACTATAATTTTCGTTTATACCAATAAGATAATTCATCAGTAGCTAAAATAGGCAACTTAACAGTCAAGAATATGGATTACCACGGAGAGGTCATTTTACTGAATCATAATATATATAACATAGATCATACTAAACGTTTGCAGATAAATCCTTTGAATTCAAAGTAACAGTTTTTAACTATTTAAGCTGTACATCATTGTCTATTCTCATTTCTATGTTCTTTGAATAATACAATTGAAGTGGAAATATTATACAGTAACTTGCACAATTTACTAAGGGTCTGGTCATATTTGCTTAGGATAGGTTTATGGAACACATCGGCAGAACGTACTGCGCCTGTGCCAAACCTGGATATTTTTAGTTTTCTTTGGATGTTTGGTCAATGTTGTATCAGAATTTTGCCTGTTGTAGTTTAATTTTTTCCGATACAACATTCGGGACCCAAGGCCCCATTTACGGACAGGGGGCCTTGAAAAGGCATTTGCCTGTTCCCCCTGTTCTGCCCTTGTGGCAAAGTTGTAATAAATAAATAAATAAAAGAATAATTCATAAATCAAATGGATTTTCGTGTTTTTGAATAGGCAGCAGTTACGCAGTGGATGGAGGTGCAATATTTGAAGTAAACAGGAAGAAATACCATTTCATGCAAGCACAGCAAAAATGATTTTCAATCCATCAAGCTGTGCACAGTATTACCCACCTGCAGCCATTGCCCGATGTAGGTGACTCCTGACCAGGAGCCCACACCAGCAACCCCGTTTAACCGTCCGCGGTAGGGCGCGTAATCTAAATTCAAATGTAAATCCCAGGTCGAAGATGCAGTGATGCTGCTATCAGGTATGGCGCCAGACTCCATTCCGAGCGGATCCTGACAGACTGGGAGGAACAAAAAATGCGACAAACTTACAAACATAAACTTGCAAGCCCCTACCAGTGACAATCGTTAAGGTTGGAAATCACAAGACATACCTAGCTGACAGATGTATCTCCGGGTGACGCTGCACGGGGCATCATTCCAGAGGTGTGTGGGACCATATACTTCGACACAGTCTTCGCCCGTGTTAGCGTTGTTTGGCTCCCCGGTGTTCCAATTGGCAAAGCCGGTAGACGCAAGGGTCTGGCCGTCTTCAAATACCCACTGCCCTTCGCTCTCAGTGTCGGTCAGCCCGATCCAACATCCTCCTCCCAGATTGTTGATGAGAGTGTTGGCCGCGCTGTCCTTCGGCATGGCCACCAGTCCTCCGTCTGCCGCACACGTCTGTTTAGCCTCAGCGTACGTCTTCGGGTCAGCAAAGTCCTTGTAGCAAACTCCGCTAAAACTGACGTAGCCCGCTATTGGACACACTGTAGAAAAAGGAGAAGAAGGGATGAATGTCTTAATAAAATTTATCTGCCATTCACCAAATAACTTTAACTGTAAACCAATGACCGATGTACTTTTGCAGTTTGCATTCGGTTGTATTATTCATTTGAAAGGCTATTTTTCGGACTTGTTACAAAATTGATACCACTTGCTGTATTCCAAAGATAAAACAGTGACAAAAAGCAAAAGTTACATTATTTTTAAAGAGAGATAAACTATTAAAAACAACAAAAGACAGACCCGTCAGTTTTTCCGTGAATTTTTACCCTTTCGCTTGACCCTATGACATGAAATATCTGTCAGTCTGCCAGCTGTGATAAATGGACTAATTCCACCACCTGCGATCTGGACCTCATAACTATAGAGACTTACTGCAGCCGAGAACCTCCGCTCTCATGGTGATGTGACTGTGCCAGGACTGAACCACGAAACGCACATAACGGGCTTCAACAGGGTCGTCCAACAGGTGCCTTACAGGTGTGTTTGTGTCTGTGTTGCCTGTGAAAACCTAAAAAACAATTATTCAGATGGTGGAATTCAACTACCCCTTCGATCTTCCTTACGAGCAATCTCTGTATATTTCATCAAATACAAAACATAAGCTGACGACGTCCATAGGTTTGATAACCTGGCGCCTCCTAAAGACGATCAGTAGAGGAGAGCTTTGTGTAAAATGACTTGAACGAAATAGATGACAACTGGAAAAAATTAATAATAAATAATTTTGTAGATTACCATGTCAGATCCATCGCTGCCGGCATATGTTGCCCAAGTAGTCCCATCTGCACTGTACTGGAGTTTGTATGACGTCACCCACTGTTCAGAAGTCCGTTGGCGACCCTGAATAATGGTGCCCGTGACGCGCTTCATCTCTCCCAAATCAACCTGAAAAGCAAAATTATTTATCACTATGTTAGAATCTGTTCTCCAGTTCATTGCCAAATAAAGGGTCCAGTGTTCAGTGTTAAGAATGCCGACCCAGCCAGCCCTAAGGGCCTACACTGCCAGGCTATCAGGAGTAAGGGCCAGAGGGAGACCGCGCCGCCGATGGATAGATGGAGTAGCGGAGACCCTCAGCGCACACGGCATGACACTCCGGGAGGCCACACACCTGGCAGTGGAACGTCGACTACATCTCCCCGCGACCTCCCACCAGGCACAAGCGGAAGGATAAAGAAAAAAAAAGTTATAATCTGACACAAAGTACAAGAGCAGTTACCTTCCCACGTCACCTTTCATAAAGTAAACAAACAGTATACTTACTTGCAACCATTCACCGATGACGTTTGTTCTTGCTGCCCAGCCACCTTCACCACGAACTCCGTATAACCTTCCGAAGTAGGGATGGTAATTCGGATCGTGGAACGAAGATGCAGTGATGCTTCCATCAGGTATGGCGCCAGATTCCATCCCAAGTGGATCCTGACAAACTGATAAAATGATTATGTTCCAGCTTGGTTTTGATGTCCCAGAATGTTAATCGTATTGAAAATAGTTTCAAAATATATGTCGTAAATGAACATGATTGTACACATCAGGTCAACTGCCATGAACCAAATTTAACAAACATAACGAGAATTATACACGTAGCCTAATACTGGAAACACTGTAGGAAAAGAAAACGGAGATAGGTGACGTGATAAAGCATGTACTTGTCACTCACTAACTAACTAACAACTGGATATGTATTGAAAAAATGCTATAGACTTTATATATCTACTAGCACCATACCTTTGGAAGGTACATCATCCAGATTGAAAACAGTAACCTCCCATTTCCTGGAGGTCAATAGCCATTTCAATTCCCTCTAGAGACAAGACTAACCTTTCTTGGAGCAGAACTTCCAGCGTCCAGTGCTGCCGAAGCCTGTAGAATACCCAGCATAAGAGACGCGAAGCGGGTTGGGATCCGTCCACGACATGAACGGTGCATCGACACCTCCCTTTCCGACAGAAATGGTTCCGTCTGAGGCCCAGGTTATCCAAAAGGTCCTGTATTCTGTTGGCGAGTTGATAGCTGTGGAGAAGGTTTACATCAGCCATCATTTCAAAATGTTATGCAGTAAAGGAACCCTCAAGTATGAATAGTATTGATTTAAATAACAGCCAGCGATTTAACCCTACCTAGACCGGGCTTTTTTTGACATGGGGGGACCGGGGGGACGCTCATTTGACCCCCCCTAAGAACTGGCAAACGGTATGTTGTAGGACCACCAAATTTTTTAGAGAATGGTGTACTAGTGAAAATTTATCATATCTCCAATTTGTATGTCGTTATGACGTAATATGACGTCATTATGGCGTCATTAATGTGATTTTATTGGCCAAAACCGTCTAAATAGGTTTTTCCCTGAAAACTGAATGGTATTCAACATAACTGTACCAAAAGTGTTTATGACAGAACATTATGGTGTACTAAGTCTTATGTTGCCAATAGCAACACCGGTGACATCATAAAATGACGTCATGCATATTTAAGATATCCGCCATCTTGGATCATCAATCTTGAAATTTCAAAAATAGTTGTTTTTTTTCATGATAAAGCCTAAAATACATTGTAAACATACTAAAGACCTTCATTTAAAATTTTTTTGGAAAAAGAAATGGAAGTATTGATGAAATTTTAATGAAAATAACCAGTATATACCTGTTCTAATGATATGGTCCGCCATCTTGGATTTTGGCCAATGACGTCATCAAATTAGCATAAATTATGCATATTTAATGTAAAATTTACATAAAATTATATGGGATGTTATTAATATTAGAAACCTTGAGTAACTTGACATAAAACCCATAAAATTCTATTTTTGAAACAAAAATTACTAAATTTAGCAAAAAATGTCTGTCAGAAACCCGTTGCCATGGCAACACAAAAAAATATTATCTTATTCCAATGATAGAGAATCTATCATTGGAATTGGTCTAGGTAGGGTTAATGGTAATGTTTTGAAAACAGCGAGATTCAAGTGCTGACCTGGTGTCGAGGCAGATGCGAGGTTGTGGCCTCCCTTGGGACGGCGTATGGCAGATAATGTATTCCCCCATCCACCGATGACGATTTCGTACATCTCAACGTCGCTGTTAACAACTGGTGACAGGCCAATGAAAGCATCGTTGTTGGCAGATACTTGAAACATGAAGTGCGTTCCCGTAAGTTGGGGTAAATCCCATCGGAATTGGTAGGAGGTGTCCGTTGTTTTCAGCAAGCAATCTGCAACATAGTCAGTCACGAAACTGTTCAACAATCAGAAAGCTGCAAATTAACAACGGTTGTCATTCTCCTATTACTACGAATGATTCGGAGACTAACATATTAGGTTCTACAACCCGGTTTTCGGTTTTGCCATGGTGGATAGGCTGTGGTATGTATGCCAACGGCAAAAGTAAAAAATCTGTGAATGGATCTCAATGCTATTGATAGGTGAGTAGCAGTTCTGGAAAGGAAGCCCAAGACTGAAAATGGCATACGACACAAATCAGCAACATCAGCAGTCAGACAACGGAACACCAGTGTCTTAAGCTTGGGACTCAGAAGCGACATGAGGACACATGTACATACCCGTGAACGAGGACACTAACAGTCATCTTTACGGGCTACCAAGGAAGGAAAGATTGCAAGGGTTGCTGGGATAGGTCCAGGACAGTTGTCTAGGATTTTATTTCTAGTACTGTAGCGGACTATGGGTGACTTTCTATGTTTGTGTATGTACAGCACAACTCGCTCTGTGCCGCCTTACCACAGAAACTTACGTTCAGCGCTGCAGCCTAGAATCTCCATCCTCATACTCATGTGATTATTCCAGGACAGAGGGTAGAGACGCACGTAACGGGCATCAACTGGGTTGTCCAGTAGGTTCTTTACAGCTGTGTTTGTGTCCGTGTTGCCTGTAAAAACCTAAAAGAAAAAGGCAGTGTTCAGATGAGGGGATTTCAACTGCTCCTTCGATGTTCATTAGGCCATGTTGATTTGACTATATGGATGACATCCTCTGCAAACCCCAAAACTGACGCGAGCGTGTAAATAAGCAAGTTTGGCAAAAATGGTTCAATTCTGAAATCTACGTGGTCATAAAAGTTTAACAAATCACTAAGCACACAGAGTATAGTATGGCGAAAAATGATAGACTCTTCATTTTCATTTGTTCTCATTTTCTTCTTTACCGGTACTAATTTTGGCATTCTATGACATCTATCATTTTCAAACACTTTCGTTTGCAACAAACGACATATATTCGCTCATGTTGTACGATTTACAGTATGGTCAAATTTTTCATTGGAAACGGACGAAAATTCATGCGCGAGGTGTAATCCATATAATCAAATCAACATGGCCTTACCAACAATTTTTTTTATCAAATACAAAACCTAAGCTCACTGACAACGTCCATAGGTTTGATAACCTGGCATCCTCTAAAGCAAAGGACAGTTTTGTGAGAAGAAAGGTGGATCCATAAAAAATGCAGGACAAACTTGTTTTTCTTTTTTTGTAGGTTACCATGTCAGATCCATCGCTGCCCGCATATGTTGTCCAAGCTTTCCCGTTTGCACTGTACTGGAGTTTGTATGACGTCACCCATTCTTGCGAACCCCGTTGGCGACCCTGAATAATGGTGCCCTTGACGCGCTTCATCTCTCCCAAGTCCACCTGAAAAGCACAATTATTCGTCACAGTTCAAATAAGCAATAACATATATATATATATATATATATATATATAGAGAGAGAGAGAGAGAGAGAGAGAGAGAGAAGAGAGAGAGGAGGGAGGGGAGG